ACCGCTAACCACATGTCGTAAATTGAGTTCGCAAAACATCATGATTTAATTATTTACATTTTCACCTTAGTCAACCTAGCAATATAGCCCACATGACTATAAGAAACAAAGAATAATAACAAGCTTGAAGAAATTAAAAATTTATATAATTATTACTAAATTAAATATAGAGTTAATATTAAATTATTATTATGCATTAAAGTTTAGATAGCTAAATTTTTAACACATTATATGATATCGAAAAAATTTCAATAAAAATATATGGGTGGACAGAGCCTTCCAAATACCTCCAAGCCGCTCTAAAAGTAATTCTGGCACTGTTCCAAATGCCTCTCTCAATTTTAAATATATCTAAAAGCTAAATGGAACACAGGTCTAGCCCCATGACGCTATGTAGGGTATCGTAATAACCAAGCTATTTGTAGCTTTGTAGTTTCAAATCCTTTGAATGGATGAAGCTCCTGATGGATGTTCAGCGATCTGAAAGTTGGTTGAGCTTGGAATATGGTCTAAAAATATTTTAAATCACCAGATGGATGTTCATGAGTGTTATTGGGTGGAAAGTTGTCAGGCAACTGCGTTGTCAGCCTTAAGACCGCTCTAACCCGGGTTTGATTCCTACGAAAACAGATATCACATATGGAGAGCGGTATTCTCAAAGTACCACAATTATATATATATATATATATGCATTTCATACATATCACTAATTTCTTATGTATATAAGCACTTAACACCTAAACTTAAATTTTTACATGCATACCGCTAAACTTTTATGTATACACTTATCAAACATCAAAACTTTAATTTTTACTTCTAAATCACATTACCTATGCATTTCATATATCTAAGAGCTAAGCATCATTTTTTACATGCATACCACGTATGAATGGAAATAATGGCACGAATAAGCTTACCTTCTTAAATGCATTTTGATAGGAGTGGAGTTGAAGGATGAGGGGACTTTTGGTGGTCTCTGTAAGCATGATCCTTTCGTTACCTCCCCAGCTACCTCTAATGGGGACTATATCGAGAAGGTTTGTTCAAGAAGAAGATGGTTTTGAGTGAAACCACAAGTCGAGGGCGAGGCAAAGGGGCGAGGGAGAGTGAGAATATTTCAAAAAAAGAGCAGACCGAGAAACAAAGCGCGAAGAAATGAAATTTAAGCGGGTGAGACGAGTGATTCATGTTATTTGTGTCGGCTTTCCTTCAAATTTGCTTCAGACAAATTTCAATGCTAACAAGTAAAGTTTTTGAGTCTTTTTATTCGACGCAACTTCGACGCCAACAATGTCGCAACTCCAGTTGAAGTTTTTCCTTTTTCAGAATACATTTTTTCTGTCGAATATTTTGGCGCAAATCAGACGTAAAATCTGCCATAAAGATCAAAACTTGTTATCTGCAGCTTAAGAGCTACAAATCTGATGCTAATATAATGTCCAAAGATTTGTAGCGAGCAGTCATTATTCCTCTATCAGACTTAATGAATAAAACAGCACTCTGAAATAACAAATCAGATTGAAAAATCTAACCTTCCCAACTTTAGCTTTGGTGCGCCATGATTGAAGCTTCAGAGCTGAATCTAACGCAAAGTTTGTGAATAGATGTGACCGCTCCACTGTTTGGAGACAAGAAATAATCACTTTCTCCTCTCCTCCACTTCCACTCGCTTTATCCCTTTGCGTCAACTTCTTGTGGAAGAGAGTGAAGAATAACAAAATGATTTATTTATTTATTTTTTATTTATTTTATTTCTTTTGAATCTTATTTGTCTTCGCATAATGCCATTGAGGTTGCTTTCTTTGTCTCCCCATGCTGTACTGTGTTCTTATTATTTTTTCTCGAATGCACATTTATTCGTGACATAGCAGCTGAGAATTTAGTTTTTCATCGTGAAGTTGGGAGTTCAAATCGTTGGCTTTTTAGGCTCAAAATTTTCAAGAAAAAATTGTTTCGGGCTATTACGGGTGTAAACGAGACGACAAGAGCTTGAGCACACTCAGTACTGGTTCTCACTTGGCTTTTTTTTCCTTTTTTCGTTCTAAATGACTAGTGAATAACATGTTTGTGTTCGGATTGATTTGAATTCATTTGTTTGTTTCAAGTTTTCAGCTGATATTCGATTCAAAATTAACTCGAATGATTTCAAAAATAATAAATTTAATATTTTTGTAAGAATGACAATATATATATATATATTATCATAATTATTTAATTAATTTGAGTTTACACACCTCTTTTAACATAAGAAAAAAATGTATTCCAATGGTAAAAGCCCCACATCTTTATTCTTGATTTTTTTTAGATGTAAGATGTAGAAAAAATTAGATATATATA